AGTCTTGTCATACACAATTCTGTGCTGATATGCATTTCGCACGGGCCACCTTCTGGCTGAGCGTTTTACTCGAAAACAGAAGGTTGTAGGTTCAAATCCAAGTTGGTTCACCGCTCTTCATATATAGAGGACTGGTGATCTGGGAGGAGATGATTGATGCTGGCTCACCACGTGGCTGTCATTCCCGCTGGTGCTGTGGTTCCAACTCGGGCATCTGAGTTGTTTGAGAGCGAACGAATACGTTACCATGCGTGTCACAAGTTTAAATGTGTATATGTGTACCAATTTGGAGGAAGTCACCAGTGGTTCTCCTCTGGATAAAGTTTTCCCTGACATAGGAATGTGGAGTTTCTACCACTTGCTTAGGACCAATGATCGCTGCCCTATACTTGATAATGAGACACGCACAGAGTAAGGCTTCCCTCGCAAACCGCTTGCCAAGTGAAGGCCACCATTAGCAGTGACTGTGGCATCATCAAGGACTGTAAATATGTTCAGCGAGCTTGAGCACCACACATAAGAGACTGCGCTAAGGCATGTTTGTGTCATTTATACAATCCCCATTCTGAAATAGGGTTGCTACGTGTTCCAGTCTTTTCAGAATCATCCTCTTTTTAAGGTACGGTAGCTGGCCGCCTGCGCTGAGAAAATCCCACGATATTAAATGATCCGTTTTTATCAGTTGTATAATGATGCAGCACTTAAGACATTGCATTCACACACAATGTCTTCCCATGATATGTCTCAGCTTTTTGTACCTCAAAGGTGGAAATTCTGATCTGGACACAATAATCAATTCTTAGATTGTCAGGATCGAACTGGGGCAGGTGGAAACCTTAGATGCATCACATGTATTCCAGAGGCAGTCTTGGATTCAAGGCTGGGACCCACGAGGTAAATGCTGAGTTCAAGCCCAAAATCCTCCAGAGTGAGGCCAAAGCCTGGAGCCTTTTAGACGACAGCCAGAGTAAGGGCCAGTCAAGACCAGATTCTCTAGGCCTCAGTAAACAAAGATAGTGTTTGTGCAGAAACTGATAAACGCTCTGAAACAAAATTTATACATTTCATTGAATAAAACTCCCCAAATGCTATATATTAGAAAAGAGTGAATTTTTGTTTAGTTTGAAATTAGCACTCAGTCAACCTTTAGAAAGGTTATTAAAGTTATAAAAATGTGATATTTCACGTGACCAGTTTAAACACCCAAGTCATCAAACTCCTCTGGATGAGGACACCTGAGGTCAAGGAGCTGAGAAAACGTTCTCAGGCCACCATCAAGGTACCACAACCGATCTGAAGGCCCCAAAACTGACCCCAGGCCTAATTGTCGCCTCCTCGTGTCGTCTGTTTTACATCTTGCAAGCCTGCTCCCTATTCCTCCTTGGCAAGCGAGCGCATGTGCCGTTAAAATGGAGCATCATGGGTTGTTTGTTTAAATAGGCCATTGTCACAGCTCAGTGAGGTAATGTAGCTAGCCTGTTGATGATCTTTAATAAAGATGATGAACAATTGGTGTAAACTGACATAAAATGTAGAAAGAACATTTTTTATAGGCTGGAGGGGGGGGGCAAGAACAGGTTTCCGTTGATATTTACATCCGTTTAAGGCGTGCCTCCTCATGCAACGAGACTTACACATTCATCATGGCATGTGCAACGCAGTACTGATATTTACATTTAACCAATGCCCCTTGATGGTGCAGACATGATAAGCTGTCAAAAGATGAGGATGTAGATATTTTGAATGCAGCACTCACGGAGATGGTTTCCTTTCAGAAAGAGCTAGTATGATTTTCATCACTTGTCAAATTATTTAGCTGATTCCGTACGTGACTGGCTTGCATTTTTTTTAAACATTGCATCACCATTAAGGTGAACATGACGCACCAGTTTGCTATGACAAAATCTCATCAGATTTGCAAAAGCAAAGCAAAGTTTAGCTTGGATAGATGGGCATAAGCAGTGTTACCGGCTGCGGGGCTACGTGGTGGGCAGATAAACGCAGTGTAGCAAATCCTACGTGGCATAAGGAGGCCCCTAATCCAGAAATGGATTGACTAAAAAATTGTATATGTGTATGCTCTGTACACAACGGTACTCACAAATAAGTCAACACAAGCTGCGTTGATGCACTACGGTATAGCGACAGCACAATGGGATGAGCAATGTCTAGGCACACGGCATGTATTTTGAAGAGATCCACTCAGACTAGTCCACTCGTCACTTGTGCATGGATAATCTAACAGCTTTAATTAACATGTAATCCACAAGACTACGACTATGTACGCACATGGCTGGTTGGGACTTGATAACAACAAGGAAACCGTTTACGATTCAAGACATTCATTTTACAGATTTTGCATGCACTAAAATACTACAACCATTTTCAGCAAGATTCAGCAATTCTCAGAAGATATACCTTAAAATTTCGCTGTACTTATGCTTTACAGAAGATATGCTTTACAGTTTTACGTTCAGAAAACTTATTTAGCGGAACGACAGAGCAAAAACTGGACCTTAATGATCAATGTTTCTTCGTGAGTTTTAATAAAAATTCATTAACTGAAATGAGCATTTAGAAAAAACTTCACTTATCCTATTTACATTTTAATGTTACAAGTTAATGTTTAATAACATATTTTTTTTAAAATAGCAGTTATATTCACGTTACATCCAAGGCGTAACGTTAGTGTGATGTTAAAACAATTATTTTAAAACTAGTATCGTCTGTAAGTCAGCTTGCTCTAAAATTACACATTTTTCTGCACACTTTAAAAGGGGCAAGTTCAGGCGGTGACTTTCTCATTCCTATCCACACAACATTTTAGAATTATAGGAATGGAGTTGATGGGTGCAGAGGAGGGCAACAGTGTTATTCACTAAATTTCGATTTAAAATTTTCGTGACTGCAGGGATTCATCTTCTTGGTTCTTTCGGTAAAGTCACGTAGAAGGGAAACAATAAAATATTAAAAATAAAACATTATTAAATAATTCTCACGACGTTTCGGCCACAACGCAAGCAGCCGTCCTCATGTGAAGACCAGGTCTGTCGGGGAGACAGCGCTGTGACTTTACCGAAAGAACCAAGAAGTGTTATTCACTTTCCTGGTCTCCCGTCAACTAGCGGTCCTGAGCACCATTGAGTAACGACGACCCTTGACACACTGCGGTGGTGCCCTCTGCATGGGCAGAGCCCCTGTGGGTGTTGCACAGGTGTCTGGACTCCACTGACGTGGTCAGATTCGGCTCAGAGACACCCAGCGTCAACTAACAAATGTGATGATCACTCACTGCCCACCTCGGGCGTCGCTTGCAGGGAAATGACACGTAACAGCAGAGTCAAATGGTTTCTTGGAGTAAGCAGATTTACAATAATATTGTGATTTCTATCAGCTTTTGAATTCTGCAAAGTGCGCTAGTGCCACAGTAAATAATAACAGTCATGAAATACGAAGTGTTGTGCTTTAGAGACCGGATGGCATCTCGGCCGTGTTGTGGCGCTACAGAAATTGTTGCCATTATTATTGCACCAGACGAATGATTGCAAAATAAGGCGGACTGAGGACAGAGCATAACGGCGTTACTCTTTGTACCTTTGCAAGCGTCGTCAATGTAAGCTTGCAATATTGTGAATGTTTTAAAAGCGTTTGTAGATACACAGTGCTGCGAAGTGGCCTGGCAATTTCCATCTCCTCACAAGTGGACAATGAATGTTGTCCGCAGCCTGCAAATGAACAACCCTCAGTCCTTATTTTACGAGCGATTACACAGGGAAAGGGGAACACACAACACCCATCGCAACAAATGCACACGGCAACTGGTAATCACGTCACTTAGCGTTGACTTCGAAGAATTGATCTGTTCTCCGTGAGTGCTGTTGGACAATCAGCAAGAGCAGGAGGTGCAACGTGCATTCACGTGGCCATTTAGAGACATAATGAGCCGTGCCGCTTCCACAAGACCCACACATCATTCTGTGTGCGCGCACGACGCTTGAGTGACGGCGCTGTGGTGACCATGGCACCACCGAGTGACTTGCTGTGGTGAAGCAAGGCTCATAGTGCTCGCGAGGGGGGCATGAGGGTTGTCGCATTAGTTTCTACAGTAACATAATATAATACAGTTCACCATAACATCACAATACTAGTCTCCGTTAACGTTGCTTTTGGCTTTCACATTTTACAATTCTTGCATTTGTGTTCTGATGTACGGCAGCACAAGTACGAATTAAGTTTGCTCAAAAAGTTACTCAAACAAATAAAGAAACTAATAAAATAGTGTAAATAATACTACACAAGATGTTTGTTGGTCTTCCCCCTGGGCCTAATGCAGTGCAGCGTAACGACTGCGCGTGCTGTGTGTGTGTATGTGTGTGTGTCCGTGCTGTGTGTGTGTGTGCTGTGTGTGTGTGCTGTGTGTATGTGTGTGTGTATGTGTGTGTGTCCGTGCTGTGTGTGTGTGTGCTGTGTGTGTGTGTGTGCGTGCTGTGTGTATGTGTGTGTGTATGTGTGTGTGCGCGTGCTGTGTGTATGTGTGCGTGCGCGTGCTGTGTGTGTATGTGTGTGTGTGCGTGCTGTGTGTGTGTGTGCGTGCTGTGTGCGCGTGCTGTGTGTGTGTGCGTGCTGTGTGTGTATGTGTGTGTGCGCGTGCTGTGTGTGTGTGCGTGCTGTGTGTGTGTGTGTGCTGTGTGTGTGTGTGCGGTGTGTGTGTGTATGTGTGCGTGCGCGTGCTGTGTGTGTATGTGTGTGTGCGCGTGCTGTGTGTGTGTGCGTGCTGTGTGTGTGTGTGTGCGTGCTGTGTGTGTGTGTGCGTGCTGTGTGTGTGTGTATGTGTGCGTGCGCGTGCTGTGTGTGTATGTGTGTGTGCGCGTGCTGTGTGTGTGTGTGCGTGCTGTGTGTGTATGTGTGTGTGCGCGTGCTGTGTGTGCGTGCTGTGTGTGTGTGCGTGCTGTGTGTGTGTGCGTGCTGTGTGTGTGTGCGTGCTGTGTGTGTGCGTGCTGTGTGTGTGCGCTTGCTGTGTGTGCGCGCGTGTTGTGTGTGTGCGTGCTGTGTGTGTGTGTATGTGTGTGTGTGTGCCACCTGCGCTTGGTGCAGACACAAGGAGGCCTCTGGCTTCGTGTGTGATTTGGGCCTGGGGCCGAAGCGATTTGGAAGCGAGGTTGAAATTTTGGGCAAAAAAAGTGTTCGAGATACACCTTGCATTAATCGATATTTTTTTAAGACCATTTCTCTGAACAATTATACGTACGGAAGCTACGCTATGAAAATAAACATTGTACCGATTCTAAAACTTAATTCCACATGCGGCTGAGCAGTCTTAATTTTATTCAGAAGGGTGAGCACTTTGCTGGAAACCAGTGGCGGCTCCTGCAAAATCTCTCAGGGGGGGCAAATGTCTGGATGATTGATAAGGATAAGGTCCACCCATGCAATGGATAAATTAACAGCTTAAGCATGTAAAGGCAACTTCACTTCTTTAATATTAATGAAAAATAAAGTGACTCTTACAATATATCCTGTTTGTTTCTATACTCACTATTAAAACAAACCACTCAAGTTTATTTTATTAAAGATTCCACTAGGTGGCGATAAATTATATTGTTGGATGAAACGTGCTTACGTATGATGACGTTAGCACGTATGATGACGTAAGCACGTTAGGGCTTGCCCTCCCGGAAGCCATAGAGAATGCATTGGAGCGCCCGCCGTTCGAAAAAAACATCTTTGAATGTAAGTCTATGGGGCCACTCGGGGCGATTCTCAGCCGGAGTGAAATCGCCCAAAAAGAGGCGGTACTCCACGGAACGTGACATGACGCTGATTGGACTATATCCAGAGGCTGCAGTGACGGCTAGCGTGACTCTGTGGTTGAATGACATTGGTGGTGCGTCGCCCAATCGCCCTAATGAAGAAACCGCCCCTGCTGGAAACTCGTCCGTAGTTTTTCGTCTCCACTTCCAAAGTCCTGCACGTCCTCGCATCGACTCGCCCGCACTCAGCCAGTTGCTGGCTCAACTCCCACAGCTGCTCCGCGATTTCTGTGAGAAATGACCTCAACAAACCTCAAACCCTCTGTGCAATCATTCTCAGCAGGAGGCCATTGTGGTCCATTCTTAAAAGAGCCCACAAGCATTTTAAAATAATATGAACTTCCATGGGCTCTCAGGGTCTTAAAGGTCATCAGGGATTGGAAGGAATTCCTGGGGGAACTCATAAATGCCCCACCCGCGATACCTAGACATTAGCAACTGAGGCTGACAAATGCATGCATATTCTGTTTTTAGCCAGCAAGTTCATTTAAAATAATTATCGCAATCTGATATATATTTGTTTTGTATATTCGCAGACCTATTACACAATTGCATGTTTGTTTTCCTCCCACGGTACCATTTGGGAGATCCGGAGCGTGACAGACGGACAGTTATATAGACATTTACTACAGACTGCCCACCATGACTGGTTTATTTCAGAATGACGCAGTTGGATTGATATTTTCACTCCTACCACGGCGTTCTGGGTCGTTGTGGCCTCTTTTCCACCCCTGAAGGTCATGAATTAATGAATATTCCATACACCCTAAAAGCAACACGGTCAAGGAGCATAAATCATCATGCAAACTCCGGTCATCCTTGTCGCGGCTTTTGGCTAACCATCAAACAAAGACAGTCACTGCATCGCGTGCTTTCAGATGCGCTTCTGTGACTGTCTGGAACGCTCTTCCTTCCGATATTAGGACACCACTTTTAAATCAAGATTGAAAACGAATTTCTTTAGAACAGTTTTTTGTGTTTAGTTTGTTGTCCTTCCCCTGCACCTCCTATTAGCATGGTTGGCTACTTACGGTGCGAAAGAAGTTCAACATAGTACAACCAACAAAAACCTCTCTACCGCTGCCTCTCCAGTTTTCCCCTTTACCGTTGCCTGCGCTAATCGTGAGCCGCACTCGAGTGGCACGACTTCAGGGCCATGCCATTTACGATTGTTCAAGTGAAACAAGTGCGTGGGGAGCTTTGCAATGAGTGGGTGAGTGGGTGGGTGAGTGAGTGGGTGAGTGAGTGGGTGAGTGGGTGGGTGAGTGTATTGTTATGGCCTGCAGTGTGGTGGTTGAACACAGTGTGGTTGAGGCTTCAGGTGAAACAGTCAGTCTGATAGTCTGAGTCCTTAACATGGGTGGAGGAATCAATGGGTGAAGTTCACAGGAACAGTGACCATGGTAGTAATAGTAGTAGCAATAATAGAGTGATACGGAGGCGACTGACTGGCAGTGAGCAAGGGATTGTAGTGAATCCGTGAGTGCTGTATCATCAATCATCTTGACTGATTTACATTGAATTCCATCAATTGAACGTAAATTACTGTTTCCTGCTTTGGTTATAATCCTTATGACAAGGCAAGTCGCTGATGAGTTCCCCGTGAGGTTGCAGGCGTACCTGCGAGTCTCATGGCAATTAGAGCTCAATACAAACCACTTTGATTAAACACCTTAAAACATGTACTAACTATTTTTGGCAAATAATTAACACATGTTCACCTATAACGGAGTTCTAGTATAGCACTACTCTAGTCACTAGTTTTAAGTATATCATTGTAGTGGCTATTGCATTGTCCAGTGTAGACCCGGTGTGCTTTGTTCTCAAGATCTCTCATGGCCACTCTCGGGATCTCACAAACCCCAAGTCACATTGTGCTTCATTGTAAATGCCCGTTGACCATTACGGGAGAGGTCGTTGGCATGCAGATCCATCACAAAGCATGGACCTCATGGCACTCTGCAGATCCGTTTGGGGCCCTTATTCTCTCGTGGAACCATGAATAGAGCCTCGCGACCCTGGGAAGTTCTACTGAGCCCCGATTCAGAGTCCCTTTCATATACGGTGATGTATCAGATAATTGTACTCTATTCTTGCGCATGATAGGGATACAGGAGAGGGATGCAGGAGAGATAATTCGTGTAGGTTTGGTATTCTTCCTCTATTGAAGGAGCACAGATTACACCAGTTCACTATATGGTCTACAGTGAGACAATTGAAATCAGACAACTGAAACTGCTGATGATGACTATTGGCCCGAACCTCGCTTTGCCTCCATGCCATCTTTGTGCCTAAAAATGTACGGCTGCTGCTGCTGCTGCTGCAGCTGTGGCTACGAAGGCATCGAGTTCCGGTCCATGGTCAGAGAGTCAATCCCGAGCCACGGTAGATATTACACGTTCAATTTACGACTGCGAACAGTTTATCCACAGTCCAAGCACCTGTGTCTCCTACGAGACTGTTGTTATTTAATTGACCCCATGGGGACGCTAGGTTGGGTCAGCCGTAGCCAGGATTTGAATTTTGAATCTTCCCACTGTGTGCGGAGCGCGCTGCCACGACAGCATCGCTCCGGCGGTCTGGGTTTCCTGGGGAAGCGGAGGCGCGCACGGGGACCCGGGCAACGCGGCATCGGGACGCGCAGCGGCCGACCGTGGACCTACACCGAGTGGAAAACAAACAAAAAACGTCGAAAGCCATTAAGTTTGACATAAAGGATGTCTCCACGTTTTGCTAATGCAAAGTAACCAACCATTGGACACGCCGATGCCACGCATGATGAGCCGTGGCAATTGGCACTTGGGCACGGGCAACCGGGAGGAGGAGGAGGATGAGAGCGGGGTGAAACGCAGCTCGGGCTCCGGCAGCCTGCGGGGCAGAGGGGAGGGAGTGCGGCGCGGCGCTGGAAGCCGCCGCACGGTGCACAGGGTGGGCGGGGAAAGGTTCAGGCCGCGGGACGCGCACTGGGGCAGGCGCCAGGGGCCCTGGGGCTGCTCACGGCAGGAGTTGTCGAGGCTGCGGTGCAGCAATCGAGCGCGCAGGTGGGGGAACTGTTGAATCGGGGTGAGTGCGTCGGAGCGGCCCAGGCAGCGGCCTGTCAAGAGGGGGGGGGGGGGGGGAGGCAGGGGATGGCCCTGGGACAGAACACTTAATCCTTACACCAGGACGCGTGTCAACCGCCCCACGCTACTGACTCAAGAGGCGCTCGGGGAAGGAAACGCAGAGGCAGCGTCCGGCAGATCCCCAGAAGGGCTGTGAAGGCAAACGGCGATGCCCAGGAGAAGCCCGCGGGAGGTCGGTGGTGTCCAGGGGAGCCGCCGATGTGGTCACTCGGGGGGGGGGGGGGGGTCAGGGACGGTGGCTCAGGGCAGGCAGGACACGGCGTGCGGCGAGCTGGCAGCCTGCGCCTGCGAGGGCGGCAGGCTTGCGAGCGGGGGGGTCGGGGCGTCTCCGCCACGCAGCGAGTCGTCGCGATCTTCGCGGAACGTGGCTGTGCTCATCACCGACTCGTCCACGTTGAAGTCTGGCGCCGGTGGGCGGGCGTGCGGCACGAGCCCCCGGCAGCCGCCCGGGGACAGCCCCCCCGCGAACCACAGGTAGATCCAGGGGTTGGTGCAGCTGTTGAGGTTTCCCAGCAGCATGATGATGACGAACGTGGGGCCTGGCCACGAAACGAACGCAGAGAGAGCAGCAGAGCGGGCGAGGTGTTTCCGTCTTCGATTTGCACAGAAACCGTGTTGAGACTCATTCAGCCACCACTGCCACCCGCGTGCATGACCTCGGTATTAAACGTAATTAAATAATACGGGGAATCATTGTCAGGGTCGAAAGATTCCCCCCCCCCCCCCACCATGACAAAAAGGTTTTTTTTTTACTCAGCAATTGAGTGTAATTTAAATAGATGGGTAGACATTTAATCCATAAAACTACACCGCTCCTTTCTGGATTCACGGTCCATGCACAACTTGGAATGCGTTGCATACGAATGCGATTTCAGGCTACCCTGGTAAGTGGATCTTGATGAGCTCGTAATTTTTTTGTCGAAAAGTGAAGAATGTGTTTTTAGTGCATGAAACCGCGGCACCGCATGTGGCTAGATGGATGGTTCTAAAGGGAGAAGGGGAAAGCTAAAATGCCACCTTAAGCAATGCAAATGGGAGTCCTCTATTAGGAATCAAGGCAGTGATGTATAGATGGTGATTCTGCTGGAACGGCACCAGAGTGAGCTGATGAATAGAGCAATAAGCCACGTGTCATGGGCCATTCACGTAAACTCTGTGTGCATCCGTGATTATCCCCAGCGCACGCCTGCAGCCGGGCGATGGGGCAGCTCGGGACTGGACTATGCTGCCACGAAACCCGCGGCGGTGGTGGTGGTGGCGGCGAAGCTTCTGCCTGAGGCTAGGCCCTGCCCTGCCTGAAAGAGTATATACAATAATAATTACTCATTTAGGGCCCTGTATCAATCCACTGCTGGATAAAGGTCTCCCTATGACGTGTCAGTCGCGAGGTTTGTTTTGATCATACTTCACCACGCTGGTCGGTGTGGGTTGGTTCAGCCGGGGTGGTGGTTGCAGAACTGGTTTAGATATCGCTCACCACTGACGGTAGCTGTGGCCGTGGATTGAACTCGGGTCACCGGTGGGCTAAAGTAGTGAACTATTTTTCCTTTGTCAACGTGACACATTTTTTACTGATTGGCCGTGTCGGGTGGTAGAGGGTTGCGACACATTTATAGATAACGCGATCTAACCCAAAAACCTTTATTATGAGTATCTGCCACACAATCATTTAGCTTAGCCCAGCGTGGGAGCCAACCCGAATTCCGGGTGCCAACCCCAGAAATCACAATCACTGGGAAGCCGGCGGCGGGGGGACACGGAGATCTGGGAGCTGGTGCTGCGAGAAGTGTGAGACTTACCCTTGCGGAGCGTGCCGACTACTGACCATGCGAACTGGGGCTAACGTGATTACTACAGCGCCGTACCAATGGTGACAACAGCAGGCGGTTGTGCAGCATCTACTTGGGTCCATCCTCAATCATGTGATGTGAAAGTTTCGAGTCGAACTCTATTTAAGTTACCTGCCTCCCACTAAGCTGCTGCGAGTCATAAATGTTTGTGCAATTACATCAACTGTAATTGCCATGCAGTAATGTCAGCCTTTAAGTGAAAGTAAACTGAGCACAGATGAAAATCACGAGCAATCATTGACCGCACGAGGGAAAGAGCCAGGCTGCCCACGCGTGTAATTGCAAGTTATTGGGCCTCGCTGTTTGAAAGGTTTTAATCGAGCACACACCAGCGATGCTTTCACGCTCCTGAGGACAGGTGTCTGTCTCAAATCACCGTGCAGCCTCGCAAACGTCTCTTGACACATTCATGCCGCCCGTTTCTGAACCAATGAAGAAATTTAACAGGAATTGAAAGATTAATGAACTGTCGACCTAAAAATGTTTTTTTATAAACACAGAATTTCAAAAGCACTTATATCTGCCAGGATGTGCGCTCAGTAGCTGAGTACAATTATGTCAACGTTTGCATAAGAGACGCGTACACTCTCGTGCAGTGCACCAGCAGGATTGTAAAAACACAGGCTCAAAATATCGTGCTTTACCAGCGACACCATCAACACCACACATGGGAGAGCAGTGGCAAGATGTTATTTCACTTTCCTGGTACGTGGATTCGATTCTGAACCCCGACGATGCCTGTTGTATACAGTATTTAGAGTCTGTTTTCTGCCTCCCAGTGGTCGCATTGATTTTTCTCCGGATCCTCCAGTTTCCCCGCCACATTAAGACTCAACATGCGCTTGGATTATTTGGCTGCTGCTATACGTTCACACATGCGATATAAGCCACTTCGGGATTAGTTTTATAATCCGTGGAAAAATGTCGCACCGACGCGGTGTCCCGCAGTGTCCCGCGGGGTACGGGAGGATGATTCGCAGTGAAAGCGCGACGCTTGACAAGTTCGATACATTAATCTGCGATAAATTAGCGAGTTTTTCGAAGGCAAAAATGGTGCAAATCTGCAGTAAGAGTTTGTATTTATGGATGTTTTGCTTTTTTTTACTTGATATTCAAGTATATTTTTTTCCCATCGTCAGGTGCACGCAAAAACATTGTGAGATTTCAGAAAAATCTGAAACCGCGTGAGAATTGTTTCTGACCGACTCGGACGAGGCGTCCGGTGTCTCACCTTCCTTGGGAGCCTTGCTGTCCCAGGCCGACCAGAGCTGCACGGTGAACCACGGCGCCCAGCACGCCACGTACACCAGCACGATCACCAGCGTCATGCGCACCGTGTTGATCATGGCCCTGGGGGCGTGGCACACAGGGAGGAACACGATCCCAACAACAACCACCACGAGGTTCATCCCTCCTTTTCCCGTTGCGTACGTACTTATGTAGGTAGACAAAGTAATTTAAATTATCATAGCTTTTTTTAAAATATGTAAACACATTTAATCGTACACAAGTCTAAGCCTGAATCGGTGATCATTAAAATCACTAATATTGGGGAGACCCCTGGTGGATTAAATTGCCATTAGCAATAATGCGACTAATGAAAACGTGGTATTAAATAACATCCTATAATCTGATTTAACTCGACTGAGCTTTGTAAAAAAAAAAACGTTAACTTGGCAGGGAGCCTTTAGGGTTGCTTGCGGAATACTGATTGCGCTGGGAGCGGCAGATGTGACTGCGTCGAGTGCCGTGCGTGACAATAGCGCGTCGTGTCACCCACTCGACGGCCACAATGCCCACTCGATGTGTTTTGCTCGAGCGGCCGAGTGTGTCCAGCGCGGCCGATCCTCAATACACAGCTTGTTCGCCGCTCTGGCTGCCCGCTGCGTTTCACATCCAGATTCCAGCGTCCAGCTACACCGCCCAGCAGCGCACAGATCATTGACTGCCAGTGGGCATTGGATTTTTATGGATTTTTATTTCACCACTCGCACATGACAATTGTTGTTTCTGATTTTTACTGCTCTTAAATTTAAGAGCTCCTCCTACAATTTGCAGTTATGTTCGATCGACATTTGGTCACCGGGTTGACGACGGCATGGGTCGTGATTCTCACTTAAAAGAGTGGGCCACGTGAAGGCTGCCATCCTCCACTCCAAGAAGGCTGGACCCGACGTAGCGCACTCGACCTGTGAATGTCCAACTAAACGCTGCGATGCAGTGCATCACCGGAACCCTCAAGGCGAACCCAACTCACTGGCTCCCCGCGATGTTTCTCATCGCGCTCCCCACATCCCTCCGGGAAGTCCAGTGAGTCGTGGGCAACGCGTGCGTCTCCCGGTCCACCAGGAGGAGGCTCTCAGTAGCGGTCGTGGCCCTCGTGCTCAACCGTCAACAATGTGACTACGGCAACAATCGCAGGCGGTGAAATGCGCGGTCGCCAAAATGCATATTGAACGCGCGTTCCAGAAACGGCGGTTGTCCGCCGGAATTTACAAAAAACATCGAGGCTGGGTTTACTTCAGCCTCCTCCAGCCCATGGGGAGCTCCCGTGGTGCTGGTTGAGACAGGCGATGGCAGCACACTTTGCCGTGTTGTTGACTACCGTGGGCTCAACAAAGTCACTCATCATGGGGCCTCCTTTGCCAGTACCAAAATATGAGAATAGGTTTTCCCCTTTTTTCTGGAAGCAAAACAGGTGTTAAGATGTTAAAACACAAAAACTTAAACCTTTTACAAGGAAGCATGTCTGCATTAACCACAATACTTGTGGTCAGAATGCAAACAAAACACGTACTCTGATAATATATGTATTGTCTTTTAAACTGATTGGTCCACACCAGAGACAGCTTTCTTTTGAGCCTAGTCTCAAAACGGTGTTAGACCAGAGGAAGCAAAAGGCGTACAGCACAAAGACAATGCACTATCAGAGTAATGGTTAATCCAGACATGATTCCTTGTAAACATTTTCAGTTTGGTGTTGTAACATCTTTACACCTGTTTTGTTGCCAGAACAAAGGGGAAACCCTATTCTAAAAGTCACTCTCGCCAACGCATTATCCATTGCCTCGCAATCGGCAAACCAGTTGATGCGCTGTCAGTTTATTTTCTGTACGTTCGAGTTAAGTGCTTTAGATGTGAGAACTTAAACACAACACTGCTTGTCATCCCGGCTGGGTTATTTGAATTGATTTTTTCCAACCTTTGAGCAATTGACGGAACCGCTCTTGTTGATCGGTGTGCATTGGGGAATCGTGCCGTGTATCCGCAGTGGCTGGACGATGTTGTATTCGGTGGCATATTGGAACAGCAGTTTTTCTCCGCTTTAGGAGGCTAATTTGAAGCTCAAACCAGAGAAGCGTGGTACTAGGTGCACGTTGACAGTGAAACAGGCGTTGCTACAGACGCAGATAACATTCGGTGTGTTAAGGAACGGCGAGCTCGCAGGCACGAGTGCAACTGAAGTATGACAATTCTTAAGCTTGGCTTCTTCCTGTTATCCCCGCGTTCGCTACCATTGCCCACACCATTGCGTGCCCCGACGGCCAAACAAAGCGTCGATGCATTGGGATCAGAGAAGTGAGAGGCATTCCAAACGTGTTGTCGACGAATCTGTTGAGATAAAAATGTTAATGAATCACCGGCTGTTTAAAGTGCGTGCGTCGGCGCACATCATCGCGTCGCTGCGATACCTGGAGATCCCCGTGACGCTGCTGGCGCGCGACGGCATGAGCTGCCCCCCGGCGCGGCGCTCGTCCCCGCCGGCCGCCTCCTCCTCGTCAGGGCCCTGGTGCGTCTTCACGTAGAGGTTGAGGCGGATGATGCGGCAGATCTGGGCCTGGCACACGACCACTGCGAGCGTGGGCAGCACGAACACGGCCAGCGTGACCCACGTGACGTACGCCTTGGCGCCCCAGTGCGCCGCGAACGTCGCCGTGCAATCGAAGATGCCCTTCTCGTACTCGCTCAGCGAGAAGATGAAGATCTGCGGCGTGCTGAGGGCCAGAGACGTGGCCCACGCGGCGCACACGAGGCCGTTCCAGCGCGAGCGCTTCTTCTTGAAGGTGACCATCGGGTAGCAGACCGCCTGGAAGCGGTCCACGGTCATCGCCACGATCATGTACGCGGACGCAAACATCCCGACCACCTGCAGGTACTTCACCACCTTACACACGCCGTTGGATGCCTGGCAAGAGGGAAAGGGGGGAGCAGGCGTGAGTTGTCTTTGAGGGCCATCGTGGATTTGCGGGGGGCGGTAGTGTGCGCTGCGAATCCAGTGACCCGAGTTCGATTCCTGCTCACGGTCGACACCAGTGACGATTCATTAAATGAACCGGTCATGGGCCTCCACTAGGTCAACTCGGCCTCAAACCTGGTGCAGTGTGCAAACATCGCCACTAAGGAGACAAAGACAGCCACACCACACATCTTGTACCGAGCCAGCCTTCGAATCTGCTTGCTTACAGTATTTTCCACTGCACAACTGATCTGCCCTGGATCTTGTGCCGAGCCAGCCCTGCGTGACTCGGGAGGAGCCAGGTTGTTTTCCCACTGTAGAAGCTGAGCCGTGCCGTTGATGTCACACTTGTAGATGACACGGTGATTGTGTCCTCGCAACCACAATCTGGTTGCGGCTCGGCACGGCAAACGGCGAATGGAAAACCACCCGTACCGTGATGAAGCTGCACCGGCTCGGCTCTGATGCACCAGCGGGAAAGGGCTGCGTGCACGACGTCCCCACTGGCGCCACGTACCTGGAAGGCGTCGGTGACATCCCACGCGAGCTGCGGCAGCACCTGGAAGAAGGCGACCACGAGGTCGGCGACGCTGAGGTGCACGAGGAAGGCGTGCATGCGCGACGCGTGCTTGCGCCTCCTCCACAGCGACACGAGCAGCGTGGCGTTGCCGCTCGTCGCCAGCACGAAGATGAGGCCGAGCACGGTGACCTCGGCTCGAGCCAGCGCCTCGTCTCGCTCGGGGCGACTCGCCAGCGGCGCTGCGGTGCCGTTGGGAGCGGCGGAGGACCAGGCGCCGCTCGCCAGCGCGCTGGCGCTCGCGTCCGAGGAGTTCCCAACGAGTGAATCGTCACTCATCGTTGCCGTGACGCTCTCCCCACCGGCCCCCTTGCGTGGCGTGACTCGGGATGTCTGGCTCTACTCTGCCACGTCTTTTATTGAAAACGCAGCGACTGCACTGGGTTCCGACTGGGTTACAAGAGACTTGATTGATTAACGTAACAGACGGCAATTGTGCGAAAATGTACTTTTAGGAACTTGAAGTTTTAAAAGTGATGTGTTATCAATTGTATAATGTAGGCATTATGATTCGTACGATAGGCTATCTTTAAGTACCCCCACGACTGCTCACGAAGTTGAATCTGATGTGTAGCCAGAGCAGCCTGAGGGAAGACACAGTACCTATAATTTCGTTAGCAGTTTAACATGTCAAGCAAGTATACATAACATATGTAATTTCCCAATGTTATTCCAGTTGTGTTTTGAGATGAGACGGAGAATCCGTTTGTAACTCTCGCTGAACGCTTTGTCACCCCGGCCTGCCGGAGAAGGGCCTGCAGAGGATGACGTCACCAAGCTGATGATATTCTCCAGCGGAGCCGCTTCTATCCACACACTCGTGGATGCACTTTCTATCAATCCCTGTTTACAAGAGGATCGTCCATTGCATGGCAGTCAACCCGATGTTTTTAAATCTTCAGAGCTGGTATGTAGCCGAATTAAGTGACAAACTAAATTGGATGTGATGTAGCACTGCCCGGGCTGAGACCACCAACTTACTACGCTTGAGAACTCGGTTCAACCTCAGGTGGCTTCTTCATCCTGGAGATGATCCCACAATCTCAGCGGTGCAGGATCAGCATCTTTGACATCGGAACCTCTCGGCCACCTCAACGTGGTTTAAAAAAAGATCTAATTCTTGTTAAAAGTTTATATTTTTCGGTATAAAGTAGGTGCTACTTCTGTCACCAGAATTCTTAAACAGATTCATCACATTAAATTAGGTTGTATCTTCTCACATTAAGGGAACATTTTTTCTAAATATTTGCATCAATGTGTCTTCGTCGGTCAGATTGATCTGATGTCATGGTATCCCCACATATGCTCGGTCGTGACTCCGTTTTACTCTCTTTCGCTGACCTCGTTTGTCGAAGCAACTTTGACACTCCGATTGCCACGTGTTCGAAGAATGGCCGGGATAGATACAGCCCTTTGTCAATCCACTGGTGGATACATAAATCAATCCAAGATGTATAATGCACCACATTCAGCAAAAGGCTGAGATGGAACTGAGAAAATAAACTAAATTAATCACAAGAGAAAATATGTGTTAAGAAGGTCTAAATGAAAATCATGCTGGTGCTGAACTCACGCCGCGCTAAGTGTTAGCCGCGCACACTCTCCACTCGACTACAGAGAAGCGACAACGCCACGCGGGTTCCACGTGCGAGGCTGCGCTCCCATTGCCACGAAGACGCGGGGATTACGTGACCAGCTTCGGGTATGACCCCGGGTCCCCCTGATCTTCATGGCAACACGTGAACAACCCTCTTGAAACGCACAGCAACGAAACGCTCTCCTCACGCTCAGTCGGAGAGACCTCTGGCGTGGGCAGGGGACAGACGAGTCCCTTGTCACCACGAGCCCATCACTACGCCGAGTTCCGAATATTACATTTTTAAGGTATCACTCTTGTGATTTGCTGGTATATGGGGCGCCAGTCTGTACATTTAAAATTCATTATTTTGATGCTTAAAACAAAGATTTATGAAGGCAATGAGTGTTCAACGACATGTTCAATGTCCACTCAGGAGGCCAGGTGAGCAATGCACGGACACTCCGTAATGACCCCCAGAGGGTGCGGTATGAGCCCCGGCCCTGTGTGCGTTAGCAGCGTGCCTCCACATCCAGTCGTACCGATGGTCTCTGGTGTTGGTGGCGCAGGCAGCGACACCCAAAAACACGGAGGACACCATCGCCGCTGATGTCTAAAAGCCTTTAGATGTTTTCCATCACTGGTGCCTCAACTTTCCACGCACCAGCAACACAACCATTACACACCAACTGAACAAAACATCCATGGCAAGAAACTCCAGATATGAATGTTAACAACGTAAATTAATGTTTCACTGCGGCAATCACAGGCAGCAATAGAGGCAAGTCGACGGCAGTGACCGGTGGCCCTTACCTGCTCCAGGGCACAGAGGATCCACGCAGCACGTGCGGCTCGCGCGCTGAAGCAGGAATGTATCTTCCACGAGCGCTTCAAACTCTGTCCGTGTGTCGCCTCTTGGCATCATGCAGAAGACGGTCGTTTGAGAGAAGCCACTGCATGGGGGGCTGCTGCCGTCCCTGCTGCTGCTGACAACAGCGGTGGTGGAGGTGCCAGTGGTGGAAATGTGAAGACCTACGTCCCGTCTCTAATTGTGTCTCCGTGTCCTGCGAGCGCGCGCTTTTATCCGTGGTGAAGTGGGTGGAGGGGTGAGGCAGGAGCGAACCGGGATGCAGAGGACGAGAGGGGTGGGTGAGGAGGGATAGCAGCGCCTTTCTTGTTCCTTTCACGGGGAGAATTGCGCTTCGTAGAGAGAGGCGAGCTCGGTGCATGGTCAATCTAAATTGAGGATACCTTTTACAAAATTTGCTTGTACTGAAGCAACGCTTCTGATATAACCTCCCAGAACGGCTGTGTAAAATAAAAATACTTAGAAATGTTTATGTGAGAGACATACTGTATTCACATTATCTGCGAATCTCTTTTGTTATTTATAGTTTCCACAACAATGCAAATTATTATCTTGAGATGTTAGGTTGATGATGGGGGTGAGCCTGCTGTCATGGTAGATGGCACGCAATTCTTATTTGCGTCATGGCGGAAAATCACAAAACAAGATGCAGACAATGCACCTCCTTCACGTATCCGTCTCCCACACGCAAACATTTAAGTGATTCTGTTACACGTCTCATTCGTCACACGACCAGGTTGAAATGAGACCTGGTTGAACCGCTCAAATTTGGTAGCTTTTGCGTGACCATATCAGACATTAATATTCAATCAGGGGACCCTTGTAATCCACAGTAAATGGAGAAATTGATATTTAAGTGAAGTGTACGCATATAAACAGTGTGATTATCGTGGCCACCTGGTGCTGTTGTAGAGCACTTGCCCCACAATCGAAGAGATTGCCCTGTGGTGGCGAGATGTTATCTCCCTCGCCGGGCATGCAGGAGGTTGTGGACTCGATCCTGGACCCTGACGTTGCCTGTTGTATATTGCGAGTTTCCATGCCTCTCTTCCCATAGTAGTCGTGTGGATTTTTCTGCGGGTCCTCCGGTTTTGCCCTCCACATTTATAAACACGCATTTAGATTACAGTCATACCTCGGTATATGACCGCTTTGGAATACGTCGAATTTGGTATACGTCGTGTTTTGACGAGAAAAATGTCTTGGGATACGACGTCTTGCTTGAGATACGACGCGCTCGCTAGAACTTGTATGGGTCGGGATGAGTCACCGCGTACAATACCCGCGTATACCCCGTTCACAACTGAAACAAAGCGCCGCTCCTCAGTCTGCCTGTAGATCTCGTTCAGTGCACAACCCTTGCTAGAACTCGTAGGCTATCAACTCCTCTCAGCAAAGTAAAGTGACGTAAAATTTTATTTCAATTTAATTATGCATTTATTTTAATTTATGTATGCATTTTAGTAATAAGTAGTGTCTAAATTATTTTATACAACCCATTAATGTATAATATGCCATATAAAATATAATTTCTTATACTCTGGAACGGATTATTTCCTTTCCCTTTATTTCTTATGGGAAAAATTCGTTTGGTTTACGTCATTTTCAGTCGAAGTCCTACCTTCTGGAACGAATTAACGACGTATACCGAGGTACCACTGTATATGCATGGCTGTGACGTTACATTCCCACATATGACGAGCTGTCAAGTGTGGCCAAGTCACCTCGAAAAAATAGCTCGTCGCCTTTACCTGACAGAGAGAACAAAAATGTATCTCGAGTTAGTATTCCAGTCGGGGATTGACTCCATCAACCCTTCAGGGTTGATAAAATAAGTACCACTTTGTGAAAAGTCAATATTGATTTTCCTGCGGGATAGTTGCTGCCAAGTGAATGTGGACTTTGCATGAATGTGTATCCACTTATACGAGTGTATACACAAGTGTAGTGACTGACTCAGAGACACGAAGAGTAGGAGGCACTCTATTCATTAACAGCCTTCACGGTCCACACAGAGTAACGACAGCCCCCAGTCGGGACAGCTGGCAGACTGCCTGGCCAGACGAAGGCGGCGGCGGCGAAGACTCGAGCAGCACGACGAGGGGATCCCACTGCAGGCGACAGCCCCAAGCCTTCGCTCGGGGTCCCCTTTTATCCTCCCAGCGTGGCCTCGTTCCGCCCCCAGCCACGCCCCGCTTCTAGAACTTACCAGCGGGTTCCCGGGCTGCCCTCACGTGCCCCCTCTCTAACCTCTCCCCTACATCCCTCTCTCTGGTTTATCACGTGACCTGCTGTCAGGGCTGCTGCAACTGCAGATCCCCTTCTCTGCCATCAACCAGCGCTATGCTACGGAGTGACCAATTCTATGTCATTACACAAGTATGCAGCTCCTCGTACACCTGTGTGATCTCACAGGAGCTGGGACAGAGCACAGCGCTGCGCGTGTCAGTGTGATGGAAGGATGCACGTATGAACAGCTTCGGAGTCTACAGTATATTTTCTTTGTAACCTAATGCCACTATGTGAATAAGCCGTGCGTGCACCGTCCATGTGAAGCGATATTGCATTTTTATTGCATTTGTTTAGCATGAGAGCTATCCTAACCGATCACTTGAAGAATGCATTACGGTTCCGATTATTAATTTGATTCGTCTGTTAATCACAGACGGGGGATTTACTTAAATATTTGCTCAATGACCACACGAGGCTTCAAAGCAGTGGGGTGCCGGCGTAGGCCCCGCCCCCCCAAATGTCCCCTTTTGGTTGACCCCAGTTCACTCTCCTTCGCGCCTTAGAAGCGAGGTGGTGCCCCCCCCCACACACCGCCTCGACTGGGATGTTGACCCCCACACACCGCCTCTACCGCGACCCAGAGGAGCTGTAGCCGGGCCTCGTTCTTAGCCACGTCATTTTATTTTATTGGCAAGTGATGCACCACCGGCCTGTAAAGTTCCCACCAAAGTCAGAATTCTGCAATGGCGTGAAAGCAAAGCCTCCATGCAGCAGCTCTTCCATCTCAAACGAAGACCCACAAATTGATGACTTGCAACCGTAACACTTTAAGATGGGTTAAAAACACGCGGTTTTGTTTATTGCTTTGGAGGACAAAAAATGCATCGCAGTGTTGCAATTGTAATACAGATTAAACACTGTGAGCAAAACGCAATACCTGTGCTGTTATTTCACTTCCAGATAACAAAAACACAACACGTTGCTTTGGTACACCAGGCGCAATGACTAGGGACGCTTGTATTCCGGTTCCAATAAAACATAGGACAAGACCCGTTTTGATTCTCTTATCCAACAGGATTGCACTTAAGGAAAAAGTCACAGTAAAGCGCACACAATAGAACTTGACGCAGTGCGAGTGGTAGAGCGGTCCGTGCTGCGCCCGTGCAGCGCAGAACAGATCACCTACTCTTGCTGGAGAGAGAGCAGTGGTGATGCATGTGCACTCGAGAATACATGTATTATGACCAAAGGGCACCATGGAAATACGTGTGTATGTGTGTGAACAGTCTGATATCGACAAGAGCCACGGTCTCGCTTTGTGGCAGTAAACTAATATGAGAAGCAAATAAGGTTTCCACATGTCTGGGTTTGACCCGCTACAATTCGGGAATTGGCACCATCTGTGTTCGGGTGGCAGCAACTGATGTGTACTGGGATCTGGTGGTGGCATTGTGTTGAATTGTACGACAGTATACAGCACGGTATTGACAGGCCTCGGCTGACCGGGAGATATGTCTGGGATTGGTCTATGATGGAAAAGGTGGCAGCTCTCATAACCAAATAGCAAACTCGCGCTCACGAGTGCCCATTGGCTCGACTTGACTGCTGCATACTCACCCCGGGGGGTCTGCCGTGCGGCCCCTCCAGTCGTCAGGAGCAATACGTTGTACGAGAACTGAGGAGGCATGGGGGGCACAGCTCTACACAGTAAGGCCACACAATAGGGAAGTTGTTGTCATTTATAACTAACCTGTATTTTATATACATTGGGTTTTCCATAACCTTTTGAGATTAAAACTCTCTCTCAATCCCCCCCCCCCTTCCCATTCCCCCCGTCCGTACCCCCTCCCCTGGCTTAGTAAGAGAAGGAGCCCATTTCACCTTGACACACTCCCCTCACCGGGGAGTGACCCCAAATGGCCCTGCTCTCTCCCTATCGATACACCTGTCGTGATTCTTACAATGGGTTCAATAAAACTCTCATTCAACAAATTCAATCCCAGGGGAAATGTATCTTTGCTCCAGATGTTGGCGCTGCTTGAAGGTCGCACGCTGGAACAAGTCACGAGTGCCCCCAGAGCCTGGGACGCCGTTTGCCCCAAACCGCCCGCCGTGCTGTCCACTCCTTGCGCCATGTCGTGGCGATGCTCGGGGCTTTCCTGTTCACCATCGCCCACGACGGTCTATTCACCATCGCCCACGACGGTCTATTCACCATCGCCCACGACGGTCTATTCACCATCGACCACGACGGTCTATTCACCATCGACCACGACGGTCTCTCGTTTTCCCACCGTGTCTAACGCGCCGACTCTTTCTGCGGTGCCTTCAGGTGGTTGCATTTGCATGGTCTACCAATCTTAATTGTCTTGTACTTTAAAACCGTGAAGGGCACATGTAATACATACAGTTATAGTTTCAATAAAGAATTACGCAATATTAACTCCTCATTCTACATCTCACCTATCTGCAAGGAGCAGTAAGGGATCTAGAACTCGTCCAGTTATTTCACCAATTGCCCACTTGTACGAAATTTACGTGGCTAAAAAACCCGAAATCCGTGCTGCTCCCGCGAGTGATGTTGTAATTCGAGGTCCCCGCACAGCGGCCTCCCAGGGGGCGTGGGACCGCCTGTGCCGCGTCCTGTGGGCTTTGCTCGTGACCCTCGTGCTCACGGGGGCCACGGCGTTGGTGCTACGGGAGCCACGCGACGGCCTGACACGACCGTCTCTTCACGCGATTCACGAGGGAGAGACCTGGTCACGACGCGCAGGGTCATTCTCTGGTGAATCCATCACCGATGATCCAGGCCTGAGGTTGTTTGGACGACGAGTAGGAGCAGACTAATCCCCACAGAGATGGTGCTTGTGCGTGAAGTGCAATCCGCCACCCTCAGACGCTC